AACGTATGAATGAGAATGAATATCTTCACAATACAAGGGATGTATTTGACCGGTTTCGAATATATCTTCGGTCAAATACATCTCCTGTATTGCGAAGATATTCATTCTCATTCATACTCTTATTCTACATTTGTCAACATGAATACGGTTCATAGATAAACATATGCCGATGTGTGTTACTTACTGGTCCGCTTGTTTGCAGTAGTAAGCAGGTGAACGGCAGACAAAACGCCAATTGTGTAAAATTTCAATATATTCCTTTTGAATATAGTCTTTCCTCTTTTTTTTGGGGGGGGGAGGAGAAATAGATGATGGACAGTGTTAATCCCGTGACTTCGTGATACCGGGGGGGGGGGGAGGAGAAATAGATGATAGACAGTGTTAATCCCGTGACTTCATGATATCCTGAGGTCTTAGCATTAGAGTGTAGGGTTTGAAAAGGGTGGTAAGAGAATGATGTCTATTTGGCTCATCTTTGGTAAAGGGTATTTCTGATTGCCACTGATGTCGTTTACATATATAGATGGCATATGTATACACACATACACACACAGATGCATGTGTGTGTGTGTGTGTGTGGCCTTGAGTGTGTGTGGTCTTGTGTGTGTGTGTGTGTGTGTGTGTGTGTGTGTGTGTGTGTGTGTGTGTGTGTGTGTGTGTGTGTGTGTGTGTGTGCGTGCGTGCGTGCGTGCGTGTGTGTGTGTGTGTGTGCAACAGGGACAACTAAGGGAAGAACAAGAAAACACACGAATATGCCGAAGGCCTTTTCGCTAATGCTTCGTCAGGGCATGACGAAGCAATAGCGAAAAGGCCTTCGGCATATTCGTGTGTTTTCTTGTGCTTCCCTTCGTTGTTCGTGTTGCAATCTGTTCGCCATGAATTCCACACGTGTATGTGTGTGTGTTGTGTTGTGTTGTGTGTTGTGTGTGTTTTGTTTGTGTGTGTGTGTTTGTGTGTGTGTGTGTGTGTGTGTGTGTGTGTGTGTGTGTGTGCGTGCGTGTGTGTGTGTGTGTGTGTGCGTGTGTGTGTGTGTGTGTGTGTGTGTGTGTGTGTGTGTGTGTGTGTGCTGTTGTGTGTGTGCGTGTGTGTGTGTGTTTGTTTGTGTGTGTGCGTGTGCGTGTGCGTGTGTGTTTGTTTGTGTGTGTGTGTGTGTGTGTGTTGTTGTGTGTGTGTGCTTGTGTGTGTGTGTGTTCCATATACCTTTACGTATGCATTAAGACCCCAAACCCCTCCCCCACCCACCCCTCCCCCCCCCCCCACCCACACCAACCTCCCCTCGGACCCCCTCGTTGTGGCGGCGATAAATGGGTCTGCCTCCCTATCTGCGACACCTTTCGCCTTTCCTCACAAATGCGTTCGTACGGTTTACTTACCCTCGTCTGACGGATTATATCATTTTTTTTAGAAGCTTGAGAGAATAAATGTAATAAGTAATGATAGTTCTTCGTAAGATTTTTAAAAACGGATTTGATTTAAAGCAATGAATAGAAATAAGAAATGTGAGAAATCAGAGAGAATGATAAATAGGGTCGTCGTCGGTTTTTCTCTCTCACTGTTAATCAAAATGACATTGTTAATAATTATGTACATTTTTGTGTGAAGCGCACGTCCGACACGGAGGACTTTTTATGTCTTTTTTTCTCCTCTTATTCTATCTTATTTTGGTTCGTTTATTTCTAGATATTCACTCGCATGTCATGTGCTGTGTTTCCGAGTGTGAAGTTGAAATACTCGCTCGTCGCCACCAGGTTTTACGAGCCTATTCCCCATTACCTAAAAGGGTTGCGTGATCGTGTGACTTCCTCGCGTTAAGCCTCTCTCTGTTGCTACGGACGTACTTCGTGTTCGTGGAGAGTAAGTCCTCGCGTGCTTACTAAAAAGGAGTTTGAGTTATCATATGAGCATTTGCGCACGGACGGACGGCTGCGGTGCGTGTGCGTGCGTGTAATGAAGGTGGCACGCGCCTCTGGGCCGTGTCAACACGTGACAGGTAGCCCCCCGTTCTCCTTATGACAGGTAGCACCCCTCTCCCCCTCTCTCCCCCTCTCCCCTGGTGACGGAGAGGTTCCTCGCTACCCCCCCACCCCACCCCATGCCCCGCCTCTCATCGCTCACGCACGATCAGCTGCTCAAGAATTCGATTGGGGGTCGTATGGCCTCCGGTGCGAGACGGCCTATCTGTCTTGCAGCTGTTCTGTCTCTGTTGATGTTTATCTGCTTATGCTGTTTATCTGTTTATCTGTTTATCTGTCTGCCTGTCTCTCTGTTTACCTGTTTATCTGTTTATCTGTTTATTTGTTTACCTGTTTACTGTTTACCTGTTTACCTGTTTACTGTTTACCCTGTTTACTCTGTTTGTTTATGTTTATGTTTATCTGTTTACCTGTTTATCTGTTTACCTGTTTACCTGTTTTACCTGTTTAATCTGTTTATCTGTTTACCTGTTTATCTGTTTACCTGTTTACTGTTACCTGTTTATCTGTTTACTGTTTATCTGTTTACTGTTTACCTGTTTATCTGTTTTACTGTTTACTGTTTATCTGTTTACCTGTTTATCTGTTTACCTGTTTACCTGTTTACCTGTTTATCTGTTTTATCTGTTTACTGTTTATCTGTTTAATCTGTTTACCTGTTTACTGTTTACCTGTTTATCGTGTTTACTGTTTATCTTTACCTGTTTATCTGTTTACCTGTTTATCTGTTTACCTGTTTATCTGTTTACCTGTTTATCTGTTTACCTGTTTATTGTTTACCTGTTTACTGTTTACCTGTTTACCTGTTTACCTGTTTACCTGTTTATCTGTTTACCTGTTTTATGTTTTACCTGTTTATCTGTTTATCTGTTTATCTGTTTACCTGTTTACTGTTTACTTGTTTATCTGTTTATCTGTTTACTGTTTACCTGTTTATCTGTTTACCTGTTTAACCTGTTTATCTGTTTTTTTGTTTTACCTGTTTACCTGTTTACTGTTTATCTGTTTATCTGTTTATCTGTTTACCCTGTTTATCTGTTTACCTGTTTATCTGTTTTACCTGTTTATGTGTTTACCTGTTGTTTACCTGTTTATGTTTTACCTGTTTATCTGTTTATCTGTTTACCTGTTTATCTGTTTATCTGTTTACCTGTTTATCTGTTTACCTGTTTATCTGTTTACCTGTTTAACTGTTTACCTGTTTATCTGTTTACCTGTTTATCTGTTTATCTGTTTACTGTTATCTGTTTACCTGTTATCTGTTTATCTGTTTACCTGTTTATCTGTTTACCTGTTTATCTGTTTACTGTGTTTATCTGTTTATCTGTTTACCTGTTTATCTGTTTATCTGTTTACCTGTTTATCTGTTTACCTGTTTATCTGTTTATCTGTTTATCTGTTTACCTGTTTATCTGTTTATCTGTTTACCTGTTTATCTGTTTATCTGTTTACCTGTTTATCTGTTTACTGTTTGTTTATCTGTTTATCTGTTTACCTGTTTATCTGTTTACCTGTTTATCTGTTTATCTGTTTATCTGTTTACTGTTTATCTGTTATCTGTTACCTGTTTGTTTTGTTTATCTGTTTACCTGTTTATCTGTTTACCTGTTTACTGTTTACCTGTGTTATCTGTTTTTGTTCTGTTTACCTGTTTATCTGTTTACCTGTTTATCTGTTTACCTGTTTATCTGTCTGTCTGTCTGTCTCTGCATCTGTCTCTTTCTCTGTTTCTCTGTCTCTGTCTCTCTCTCTTTCTCTTCCTCTTTGTCTTTGTCTTCCTTCTTCTTTCTCTCTCTCTCTCTCTCTCTCTCTCTCTCTCTCTCTCTCTCTCTCTCTCCTTCCTCTCACTCTTTATTTTTCTTTCTCTTTCTTTTTCTCTCTCATTTATCCCTCATTGTATTAACTTTATTCCTCTATCAATATTCTCAGCCTCTTAAACCTAGCCTGCACACACCTATCTACCTATTCTTCCACTCGCTCTCCCTCTCCATTTCCTCCGAATGCCAGACCAGTCGACCGACCCCGGGACCTCCCCCAGGACCGACCCCAGGACCGACTCGCGGGGACCTTGTGACCGACGGCCAGTCACCTGACGTCACGAGGGCCGGCCGAGATCAAATGACGCGTTGACGGTCAGTCGGGTGCGGGAGGGAGGGCGAAGAGGTTGGGGGCGTTTGTATGGTATAAAGTGGAGAGGTCTTAGGCCTGCGTGACCTGGGAGAGGCGCCGTAGCAGCAGCAGGAGGCCGCCGCGTGAGGTGGAGACGGTAATACAATCTCTGAGGCAACGACGGCTCGGTAACCTGAGATGAGGCACTCGGTCCACGCACGCGCCCTCGCTCGCTCGCCGCCTCCCACAAGAATGCAATGAAAGCAGATCCTGGAAGAAGAAGAGGAAGGCTGGCGGCCATTTCTTAAGTGACGTCTTCTTTGCATTTAGTGGATGGGTGTGTGTGTGTGTGTGTGTGTGTGTGTGTGTGGTGTGTGTGCGTGTGTCGTCTTCTTTGCATTTAAAACTCCACGATGCCCTACTCTCTTTTTTTTTCTATGGTAACTTTCCTGATCTCGGTTTCCTTCTCCTTAAATACTTTATATGATTACACTATCCAGGTGTAATAGATTTACAATTACATCAGACGGAAAACAAGCACGATGCAAATACAGGTTTACAGCACCAACGAACGAGATATGAAAATATAAAATAAATATCACACCGAAAAAAAATATCTTACTCTTTTCATTGCAAAGTCAAGTTGAAGTCAAAATCAACTTTAAGTGAAGATCGACTCATCTACTTACTATTACAACGAAAAGGCAGCGTACTCTAATCAAACTATTTTTTTAAATAAACCGTAAATAAACATGAACACCGCCTGCAAAATCGAATCAAATCCTGCCTACGTATTAACTACATTCTATCTGCTCGTTAATAAGAGTCCATAAGAGCTCCGACGGACGTTTGGCCGCGCTAACAACCGAACAAGGTCGTCCTCGTAATGGCGTGTTGCTCCTTCCCAACGACGGCCGAGAAGTAGCCGGTCCACAAGGCAAAGTGAGGGTCTCCGAGGGTGGCCTTCAGTTCCTTCCTTGGACCGGCGAAGGAGGAGAGAGGACGCTGTTGACTTTTGAGGAGGGTTATAGAGCGGATTTGTCAGTGTTTATATCAACATGATCTTTAGAATGTAAGTAAATTGTTGATGCGTTTGGTTCTCTCTGTGAAATGAAAGTTGGGACTATACCATAATGTTGTAGGAAAGTCTCGTGGTTAAAGCGTGAAGAAAAGTTTTCTACAGCACCCACGTGGGAAAATGACGTGATCCAAGTGTTAAAACTAATAAAATTGAATTTAACTTGCATCACGTATTCTCAATTGTGATGTTTAACCTTTGATCATCTATACGTAACGATCGCCTGGGTAGAACCCTACGTAAAGGCTCTGTAACTAGTCCGTAATTTTTATCATTGTCTGAAGAACGCAATGAAATGCTGAATAAAGAAGTCTTCGTGTTGACGTTAGCAATACGAACATCAATATATTAAGTGCTTTGATTCTAATTTCCAATTGCATCCCGCGTTTATCACTGCTGTCCACCTACGATAATACAGTTTCAAGGCCAAAGTATTCCATCGAATCGGTAGAAAATTTAAAAATCTGATCAACCGCACTGACTCTCCCTTTGCCCTCAGTATCGACATAAAAGCAAAAAGTCTAGCAAGATGACACAAAACCCGATCAGTTTCCTTTTGACGGGAAATCACAGCGGTTTGTTTCTGGTGCAGGCGGTACCACAAGTAAGGCGTGCTGTTGTATGTTTGTGGTTCTCGAAACCATATTACAAGTGAAGAAAATGTAACGGCTAAGATTTCAAACCACTTCGGTCTTGGAATCTCTTAAGTAATCCAAGAAGAAAGATAAAAAGATGCCAGTGACACCATATATGCGGGAGGTTTCAGATCGCCTGTATCAATTTGTACGTTATTTTAGATACCTTCAATATGTACCCCGCCCCCTAGGCAGATGGGCACATTTCATGTTTACATGAACCCAGCATTTCCCACAGCCATATAGCACAGGTAGATTTTGCTTGCGATTGAGAAAATGACCGGTAAAAATTATCTATGGTATTTCCTTCGCTGTTGATAAAATTGTGGGTTAAGCTTTACGGTTGTGGGTTGATCTTTACGGTATGGGCGAACCAAGTTGGGGCAAATTGAATATTTTTGGAGAGGTCAAAGTTGCACCTGTCGGTACGAGAAATAATCTGCAGGCACGAACGGTAACGCCACAAATAAAGGAAAAAGTTCGCTGAAAGCGCAGTTCTGAGCCCAAGTCCACTCGGTGCTCCCGAGTTGCACCTCTTATCTTGCCGTGCATACCAAAGTGAGGCAATATTTCCCGATGGGGGGTGTTGGGGGGCAGAGCCCTCTATCAACCATCCTCTTGAGCAGTGCCTGAAGGGTGCACCCAACATGGCAAATTAGATTGATGGATATTTTTTTAGACCGAGAGTTGGACTTGTTCTCTGGCGAGTGCATCCACACTGTAAGAAATTACAAGTTGTGCAATATGTGGTTAATGCTACCCAGAACGACAGTGGGAAATGGACACCGATATATTGTGGAACACAAGAAATGGTCATAAACAAGGTATTTGTTACCGGGAGCGACGCACCTAAAACCAAGATATGTGATAACACTTATACCCTAAGTTTCCTAGCTTCTATTTCTTAGACAGGGGAGGTAAGCCCCCCCCCCCCCCGTACCCCTCTTTATCAGCACTTTCTCTTAACTTGCATAAGACGTGACATAAAAAGCTCTGGCTGTGATAGGGTGTTTTGGATATTTTCAGTTGTACCTGTTCTATTCATAACCTTATTTCTTATGCGCTATAAGATGGCGTCCATTTACCTCTATCTCTGCGCCGCTCTCGGTAACATTAACCTTTTAACATCAGTTTGTTTCGGTATTTAGGTGATAAAATACCATTATATTTGGTCCTTCCAGGCAAATCGGAAGGCACTGGGGGGAAATGAAATAACCAGATTCTTGGATTGTGCAGAGACTAAAGGAACCCTCTTTTGCAGCTTATCCTTCGCCTCCATCCTGTTGACCAGTCACGTGCTGGTGTGGGCGCAGGAGACGAGTGACCAGACTACAGGCGCTGTGTGGACGCCGGGAAGGATAACGCAAGTATGTCCACCATGCTTCACGTTTACCTTCTTGTCTGTTTGGGGGTCTATCCATTCCGAGGGCTTTATTTTTTCCAAATGCTTTATTTTTTGCTGCTTGCCTGACTTCGTTTTTGTTGGGGGGGGGGGACCAACCTGCATGTTGGGTTACCCTTCACATGTCATGTTTCCTAAAGAGGCCACAGTATATTTCTACGACTGGATGGTAATCAAAAAAAAGGTATGAAGACCTCGAGTCCACCACGCCTCGTACCAACAGCGCGGCCTTCGGGATTAATGAGAAACTAGAAACACTCCAGAATGCTATATAGGCCTATTTTATCAGAACGCGTAGTAGGATGGACATTGTCTTTCACCAAATAAATTGTTAGATATATAGAGAACACGAATTACGTAATGCAATCTTCTTCAAAGTCTGAATTGACATATTAGATAAGAAATTGGTGGGTCGACACTTGCAGTGGGATATTTGTCACTTAGCCTAGCTAATTAGTTCATGGAAATATTTAGTTTTGACATTTTTAACCGTACGATTTTGAATGACAAAATGACCAACCGTATTACTTTTACACATTGGATTTATTGAATTTATTGAATTGGTTCCACCATAAGGTCAGACTAGAATATGAAATCAAGGATTTCTGATTTTTTTTCGTTAAATATTTTTGGTTAATGGTTACAAGAAATGTGCAAGACATCGAAGGGTGTAAATGAATTAACGATTATGATTAAAATGTATGCCAAAGGTTGTAAAGCACTATAGGACAGAATTGCAGTGAAGGGAAATAAATGGAATACAGCGGGATTTATAAAAGTAGAAAGGGGCAAATGGAGAGTATCTATTTGAGGGAGAGTAACATTGCATGAGGAAAACTGCAAGAGAGCCATTATGAAATCAACGGATAACATGGGTAGAAATAGTAGTTCAAAGTAGAAAAAATCCGGGGAATGAGACGAGGGACCAGGGGAAGGTGGTACAGCACCAGGATATATGTCAGGAGGGAGGGGGGGGGGATAAGGACGACACTGGTGACGTAAGGGTATCACATGATCATCCAGGTGGGAGCGGTAAGGATAATGAGATGATGGGATATAGTTGTGTATACAGTATCTTTATACCATATGAATATTGCATTGCGCGTATTCAGTAATTATTCAAAGTATATATATACATATATTTTAGAAGTTGATGCCATTCTAATGCTTACTGTTTATTGAAGCTTATATGTTGCTAATGTATATTTCTGAGCTCGTGGTTATCCATTTACAAATGACCTCGACAGTAAGTTACACAATTGCAGGTAAGTGCAATAAATGTTTCTGGTATAGTTTCTTTTGACATCAAATCACCCAAACACCAGTATTAGTCAATAGTTTTAAAATGTTTATTCAAACCTACTTTTATCCAAACATTTTTTTAAGCCGACATGTGTTAAATTATAAACTAACATGAATAGATATTGACATGAACCCTATGCGCTGTATGTGAAGGTCTGTGCGTCCAAAGGTCGTCTCAGACCAATTATTCGGAAACAAGTAAATGTTTCGTCAGTTTAAACCTTCAGCCTTAAGATGAACATTGGATATATTCACGTCTATACACTATAACCCATGACTGCAGTGCAAGTGAAAATATACTGCAGTGCAAGTGAAAATATCCATGATAGAGGAAAGTTTGTCGACAAAATATTTACGAGACTCAGTTGGGTCAGAGTACATCTTTGGACGCGCATACTCTCATATAAAAGTGAGCGTGGAATAAACTTCTTAAAGGCTGGAGTATTTCAGTAAAGGTGGATTTTTTTTTTTTTCATTTTTAACCATCCCTTTTGTTGCAGGTGACACTGGCAATTGTTGAATCTGCGCTGCTCACTCTCCTGCTCATTTACCCCGGGATTATGGATCCCATCGTCAATTTCATCAACCAAAACGTAAGATTCCTGACAAATATTCTTTATTAATGTGTAGGTTTATTGAAAGATAAGAATTGTTTAGTTTCTTAATGTAAGACGATCGACGTCCTCGTATTAATTACTAGTCTGAAAACTTCTCTTTATATTTGTTGCAGATTCGTTTTACTTTGTCCTCATTTTGATGTTTTTTTCCAGGGAGATATTATAGCGCAGGATTTACAAAGTGCGTTAGATTTATACTTTTAACGATCAGACTAATTGGGTTAGACTAAACAGGTGTAAAATATATGAAACCTCAACATTCTAAAAAGCAAAGGCAAGACGAACTTGTTTATTAAGCGGTGATGTGGCACGCAACCCAAGGTTATAATTATCTGCAAAATAAGTGCGGAATCTCTAATTACAAGAGTAATTTCCTCAGCTTGTACAAGGTCTCAAGGTCCTTTGGTTGAATACTTTCTCGTAAATATCTTGCCAAATTAGTGGTTTCCTCGTTTATCAAAGGACCGTCCCCTGGAGGTGGGGTGAGAGTTAAATGATAAAATAGCCTACGTATTTTCTTTCAAGATAGTTCTAAAATGATATAATTAACACTTAATTGTTTTTATTTCACGCGGAATGGGATAGATTCTCCTTTGTTTACGTGTTCTGGAATGGAAGAAAAAACATGGGCAAGCTTTTAGAAGATAACCAAGGTTTAGTAATGTTTTCAATTGGTTTCGTCTATAGATAGATAACAGCCAGAATAAAACTGTTGACGTAGTCTAAATTTTCTACGAATATAATGAACTGTCAACCTTATTTCTACAATGCTGCTTGGATGCCGACGTGTAATAAACCATGGCAAAATACACCCTGGGACCGTCTAGGGAATAGGTTCGAGAGTAGCACTTCTCGCAGACTTATAACCCAAAACTAGGTATAATCTCCCTGATAAAATGTAGAATAAATGCTTTTCAAATAACGAATTTTGCATTAGCAAATAGTGTATGTAAATAGAGCATTGTATTTCTCAGCAGTTAGGAGCATTAAAAACAATACACATCTATCCATACAAATCCACAATTTTACAAACACTGCCCTTTGCAATGAAAGTGTAGTATTGTGAACCCACTCCCCCCCTCCCTCCCAACCCTCCACCACAATACAATACCATAGTCCTATATGACCTTTGATGTCATAGCACATTTTTCTTATTACTTACTTTCCTCTCCCTATCCTACCCCCCATCTACCCTCTCCTCCTACTCCTTTAAATACTATACTATCATACAATAAATGACCGTCGAAACTTAACATTTTACCTCTAATAAAGAACTTTAAAAACCCTCCCAACACAATACAATACCATAGTGCTATATGACCTTTGATGTCTAGCACATTTATTTTCTTGTCATTATTACTTACTTACCATAGTCCTATACGACCTTTGATATTCTTAGCACCTTTTTCTTATCATTACATACTTTCCTTCCCCCAGATCGGGAGTGCCGGCTCCAGGAAGCGACGAGACACGCGGGCGGCCATGTTACAGCAAGCGGCAGCCATTCATAACCTCTTCCTCGACGCTATCGACCACTACGAGAGTTTGGACGAAATGCTGTCGAGTGTCTGAGCGTTTCCAGATTCTTAATAACATCCCTTAACGCTAAAATCTTTTAATTAAAGAATGGCGTTAATTCTCGCACTGACTGTACATGATTGTATTAATATCTAACATCTGAGATAAAGCGTGTATTCTATCTACGAATAAAATCTGGATAAAGGCGAAAGCAAGTCTTTATACCCCTTACAGCATTATTAACCAAGGAATAGTGGTTAAAAAAAATTAGCCTTGTTCCCAACTGCATAGGTTAATACAATACAAATTTCCCGTGCCTGTATATACAAGGTGGTTCAGCATTTAATTCCATCACTGAAATCGCCATTAAAATCTCGAGCTACTCCTGTATTCCCTTTAAATATTTCCCATTTGTCCTTTTGTCCTTTGTCTTAGTATATTATTAATTGTAACCAGTTATACCCCCCTTAACCATTTCCAACTCAGCTGATCCTTTTGAAAATTAGAAAAAATTGTACATTTCCTCTTTAAACAACAAGTTCAGGCATATTTTCTACTTGCAAGTATGACAAAACACAACAGTAATCACTAATAGTCCTGCAAAATGGAAAATCAAAAGACCAATTATATTTGGCATTTTATTTTCAAGATGACTCTTTGGTAACCTTTTGAACTAACGAACACTGGGGGGGATTTCTTAATATAAGAGAAATAATGCCTCTCAAAATAGTCCACGGAAAGATAGCTCATCTGCTAGGAGATTCTACATGGTTTCCATCTGAACTTCAACTTCTTAATATCCAGAAGCAAATAAACTTTAGGTTACCCACGAATCTTCTTTCCAATTATAAACAATCTTTTTTACTGATGCTCCAGTAAAGGAGCTTAATTTGCACTAATGATTCTAAATGGTCTTAAAGTTAACACTCCATATGGCTTCTATTTCAGTGGAATACATTCTGTAAATGTAATTTGACAGAAAATATACTGTAATCCTATAGTGTCTGAAACAATGCAATAATTCATCCTGACAAATTGTGGCACAAATGTGCTATTGCAATAAATAGGGAAAATGTTGCATTTTAACCTTTGTATACAAATGAAACTAGATAAACCATACATTTTGAGTATAAAAATAGAATTTACTTACAATCTTGCATGTCATGAACTTTACCTGCACATTGCAAATATTGCATTCAATTTTTTTTTTTTAACCACACTAAATATTCTCACCACAGTCACATATTATTCTAACAAGAAAAATTTCCATGTAAGTAGACACTGTGGTAATGTCTTAAGTATGTGATTATCAGCATATAATCAGTTCTATAATTAAGATGTTACACATTCTACTTTATCATCTGAGCATACTTACAATTTCTTAACAGGCTATTATTGTGAAAAAAACTACAATCAATCATGATCTATTATCAATAAAGCAAATTCGTATGTTATTTCTTTAGCTCAGACTTTTCCTTTGTATGACGTCTACTCCAACAGGATATCATGGTATAATCTTTCAGAATAACTCTCTTTAAGAATGGGCTGTTTTCTACTAAATTATTGGGTACTCACTGCAGAGAAGTTAAATAGAGTAATATATGACTGATATATACATATAATTTAGTATACATATTTAGTTACTCTTTTGGTAGACAAAGGTGGCTGCACTGAATCAAGACTAAAATTAGTCCCATTTCATTCAAACAAAGATTAAAGAGAGGAATTAAGGGTTTAAAAGATAAAAGGAAGAAAATAAGAGAGTATGTGGCACTCAACAAAAATAAATTCACTGTTCGTATGGACACTTTTTGCACATTTATAAATACCGGTACAACTTAAAATTACAACACCAGTCTTGAATATCATTTTTGTTGCTGGATATGACATCTGAAGTTATCATTGAAAGAGTGCTACCATAAGTTTGTGTTTCTCCTGATTGTGGACATCTATCTTCGGGTTAGGTCTGAAAGACAAAGGCACAGGAACAGTTAGTGATCAATGCACAAGTTATAGTGTGTGATGTGAATATCTTATTATATGAGTGTAGTTCATGAACCTGAAAACTACACTTTTGGCAACAGTGTAAGAAAAAAAAAAAGTTTTTGGATTATACTGTTTATAACTTATAAAGAAAAGTAGACTGCTTGAAAGGTAATGAACTAGTATTCAAATTGGAAAGCAGCACTCTATGGAGAAACTATTCATATCATACTACTCTCCAGTAGCAAACACGAACCACTATTGCTATGTAATATTTTATAACCATATCAAAAAAAGAAAAGTTACTCTTAACTTACTTCGACAGGAAAAGCTGCAATGTGCTCTTTGTCTGCTCTGGGAAGAGTGGTGATGACACAATCGTGGCCAGGGCAATCAGGCATCCTTTAAGGTCCCACTCTAATTTGAATTTCTTGTCCTGTAAACAAGCATAATAAATATATTATAATATAATCTTTAAATCACATTAAGTGGTGTTCTCTAAACTCTAACATTGTCTTTATACAGGATGACCTCCACTTATCCATCTACCTGTAATCCGATTCCTTAACTAAACCAGCACCACAGATTTTGCCGGGAGTTTATCAAAAGGCTCTCCCAAAGAAAAACTATAGACTTTGTTGCAGAAGTCAGAGCATGTACATCTACTGAATGCATCTTGCATAAATCTCTGTAAACATTTTTGCTGCAGTATATGCTATCTTTTTAAGAAATGAGACTAGAAAGAGACTTTAAGCTTAATCTTGAGGGGCTTTATATCTCCACGACGACTGCAGTCAGGGACTATTACTGTTTAGCACACACAACTTAGAACAGGATCAACTGTGCATAGCATGAATTTTAGCTTGCTTCTCCAAGACATCATTAGAAGCACTAGGCATGAGTGGGTCAAACTGACCATAACACTTAAAGTTTTGAATAATAATAACCATCCACATTACTATTATCCATAAAGCTAGCTTTACAGAAAACAATCAGCTGGTAGAAAATTATGGGGCAGGTAACTTGCATGCATGTTTTAACTTCCAACAATGCAAAGAGATACATGCCCTTCTGCCAGTATTTAAAATCTCCCCAATGATACCATGTTGCTAATGTTTTTCTGTATTATAATCCAACTTCAACATTCTGAGTAATATGAAACTTTTGTCAATACACTCGTCTACTGTATTACTCAGACGCACACATAAAGACACTGTCTCCCTATACAGACTTGCTTTCACACTCCCTTTACTTCTATATACACATTAACCCATTGCCACTGGGGATGGCATATCTGAGGATGGTATATACACACGTGCCATACCCACTGAGTCTAGTCTATTCATTGTCTCTACACATAGATGCCTCAACAATTGCTTACTTGCCTTGATTCTAAGAAATATTTTCTATTATAACTAGTTATGTTAATAACATTGTAATAATTATAATATCTATTATAACAACAACATTGTACCTATTATAATAATTGACAGAATTAGTTTAAAGAAAGAAAGAAAAAGAAAAAGAAAGAAGAAAAAAGAAAGAAAAAAGAAAAAAAAAAAACAGCAAGAGAAAATCAGGTGAGGTTACTAGGTCTAGTCATTAACTCCTTGTTGGCTTAGCACCTGTGAAGCCATTTATGTGTAAACACATTTCACAATACATAGCTAAAGTGAATATTACAAGTACCCAGCTAAACTAGCATATAGGACAGGGAAATCATACAACTTTCTTTTGCCGGAAAAGAAAGAAAGAAAAAATATTCCCAAAGTCTTAATTGCATAAAGAAATAACGTCAATGCAATACAACAAACTTACCTCACATTTAATGAGTCCCAAATGGACCAGAAGACTATTTGTAGCGAGGGAGAGTGAATCACTTTTCTGGGCTGCTGCAAATGCTGCCTTAGCCAGCTGCTCTGTAGCAGCATTAACTGCTTTCTGAACCTATTCAAGGTGAAGTGAGTTCATAATTAATCTCTGGAGTATAGATTGACTGAATCCTCTATAACTGTGTTTAATTTCTAAGCATCAATGTTTATATCATGAACTTGTCAAAAAGAAAGATTAAATTCAAATCTAGGTCAAGCTCTGACATAAACATGAAGGAACTGGAAGCAATTTTTTCAGATTTAAAGACAGATGTAAACATACCTCTGCATTATTAGATGTGGCAATTGATCCAGTTCGCATTAAGATCTTCAAGCAGAAGTTGATCAAGGCTTCTTCACTTCCTTCTGCCAATCTTTTAGCCTCTTCAACTAACTGAGAAGGACCAGAGTTCCCCAAACCAAGAAGTCTGGCTGCTGTTGGCTGCTCGCAGAACTCTTCTGCAGTACACTGAAAAATTCATGCCCACAGGCACCATTATTCATGAAATGCCTCACATAATTATTTTGAGAATTTCATTATTGAATTATGAATATGTAAATGAAGAAGCCCACACTCAATTATCACTTACTCTTCAGAAGAATATCATGCATTCATAACCTTGAAAGTCTAGTTGAAATAGGTGACTATTCATCTTTCCCAATCAAAACCCTTGAAAAAATGACTCAAAGCACAGCAGTCTAATGTAAGCAATTGTCTGCTAACTTGCATAATGGTTGAAATATTTTGCTTAAATATACGGCAAGAACATTTACCTTGACTGGAATGACAACAGACTCGCCACGCTTCAGAGGGCTCACTCCAGATCCACGGACCTGTGTAACCTCCTCTTCTTCCTCCTCTTCTTCATCCTCATCCTCATCATCTTCGTCATCATCGTCGTCGTCATCATCATCTTCCTCTTCCTCACTATCTGGATCCTCATCATCCTCAAGGGAGTCAAGGGCCTCTAACTGACCCAAGTCATTCAAAAGGCTAATGAGCATTTCCCGCCCATCCTCACCTGTGCAGGATTAGTATACATCACTTGAGTACCCTTTACAGAAAGAAAATTCTGCCTCCAACAAAAAGTTGGAGAGCGCAAAGACATTACTCAATAATTCCATTTATAATTCCGAGAAAAAATTTCTAATATACGAGAGTCACTCACCAAACTGATTGCAGTCCAGCATGAGTTTGTCCAAGTTCTCTTTATCTGCCATGGCTTCCGCTATTGCTAGTCCACCTTTGATGTTAATCTCATTACTGTCCAAGAACAGCTCCTGCAACAGAACAGGTTTTGATCAGCCTAGAATATATGTACACACACACATCAATCAATCAAGTCTAATAGAATGCTGTAGGTGTATTTTGCCCTCATGAGACTCGTGGCCTTTGACCTACCCTCAGATTCTTGTGTCCTGAAGTTAAGGCTTTGGCAATCATCTTGGCTCCAGCTGTTTTGATGAGGCAGTCTCCAAAATTGATCACTTCTAAATTCTGCATCATTGGCAATTTATCTGCCATTGCCTGGGCACCCTTGGGGGTAAAGGTGCTGCAAGAATAACAATCAAATTATAAATAAATATAACACACAACTACACATCATAACTTCAATAATACTTTCAAAACAGATATACTAAAGTTGTACTGACTTGTCATTGAGGTTAACTACACGGAGGTTGTTGTTGGTACTGAAAGCATCTGCAAGAGCTGCAATTCCCTCATGGAAGATGCCATTCTGAGGCATGGCAACTTCTTCCAGAGTGCCTACAGCCTTGAAGAACTTTGCATAAACCTTGGCACCTTCTTTCTCAAGCCTGTTGCGACCAGCTATAAACACCTGTCATAAAATCAGAATAAAAGCAGTTGACCACAAATTCCACTTCACTGGTACTTGAAGGCACTTGTCAAACATGTCATATGATAAAGAAAACCAGTAATAAATCAACATATCATATTCATAGGATATACAACAGTAATAATCTGATTACTAATAAAAATAACTACACAGATTATCATGCCCATTAACTGATAAAACAAAATAGGTTCTAGTGACTGACCTTAAGAGTTAGTGGAGTACCAGCAGCTTTGGCATTATCCACCAGCCTCATGAGAGACTCGGCAAGCATAGTTCCTCCCTTAATGCCAAGTCCATTGTTGTTTAGTCTCAGCTCCTGCAATCATAATAAGAGAGTTACCAGCATTCAACATCTTTTTTTTAATTGTACCTTAGCAAGTATTGTCGGTCTGAAGAACACTCATACCAAATGGTCACCTCTTCAGATTTTCAGTTTCTTCAACTATCTTTAAAAATTATCAACTACATTGCCATGCACTTTTAAACTTTAGCATACAAATTCAAACCTATAGTAGTATTCTTGTTAGCAGTTCTTGCTAGCCTGAAAAACACTATTAAGTGTTGAAAAAAATTACATCATGCATACGTAATTACCTAGTCAGGACCTTTTAAACATTATAATATAAAAAACATACATAAGGTACCATTCTCACTGATGTACTTGTACTTTCTGTGCCTTATTCTATCTTACCAAATCATCACACTGACAAAAAGAGTAACAGAAACATTATTTTAGTATTACCTGCTTCCTTCCCTAAGTTACATCATACTGGTAATATCACAAAAGCAAAAAAAGGATATGAATTGGATTAAATGATTCCAGAAAGCAAGGCATCTCCTATGCCGTTCGTGGAATCATTCAATCATTCCCACATTTTCTACTTTTGTCTTAATGACCTCTCTTAGTTGAAAAAATACCAACCTGGAGGGAATAGCAGACGGGTGACGACATGAAGTCCACCATGCCCTCCACACCCACGGGGCCAAGGGCATTGTCACTCAGGTCTAGCTCCTTCAGCTTGGCACCAGCACGTATCAGGCCAGAGAACAGGTGGCGCTACGGGAGGGGAGACGTTATATGACTGAAACATTCTAGAATCAAACCTGAGCTAAAAAGATTTTGTTGTTGCTGTTGTATTTCACACAGTTCATA